TTTATATTCTTCAGTTATAATCAAGTTTTTGAGCTCCAAGTTAGACTGTGTGTTTTCTTGCCATTTTAACTGTACACTGGCTAGATGTTTACTGGCACTTATGCTGAGTTTCTTCCATTGTAATCATGAAAACTTTTAATTCAAAATTAGACAAATTAAACTAGGTGTGGTGGCACATACCGGTAAGCCTAAGGCAGTAGGTCTACAAGTTCTAGTCAAGCCTTGGCATTATAGTAACTCAAAAAAAGTAGACAAAACAATATTGAAGGCATATGGACTTATTATTCTCTTACCTTTTCTCTCAGATGGAATATTTATGTTTAATTAATAGTAATTTAACAGCAATATAGGTAAGCCACAACTACAGAAACTGCATGTCAACCACCAGTCAAAGATTTTTCCAGAATATCTTTAAAATGTGTTATTACTCATGTGTTTGCTTGTGTAACAAAGAAAATCAAAAGATATAGTTGAAAAGATCTTCACCTCAGTTTTATACAGGATATCTCCATCTTGAAGTGTTGTATGCAACATGTGAATTTAGGTTTAGATGTTCATTGATGATGATGCAAACAATGAGTTAGACGTTAGCATATAAATACATATCTATACAAATATATTATATAAAGTTATGTATTTATAACTATCTCAATTACTTTTCTCTCATTGCTAGAACAAACACCTGATACCCAGAGTTAAGGAAGGAAAGAACTATTTAGCTCACAGATAGTGGAGGTTTCAGTCCATACTCAGCTGGCTCCAAGGCAGAGCGGCACATGGCAGAGGGCAGCTGTTCATGATAGCAGAAAAATAGCAAGGAGAAAAGGGTGGAGTTGCAGCTGTAGCAGCTAGCTAGGGTATCTCCCCTCCTTACATTTTCATGCAGATTATCTGCTCCAGGGTGGGTGTAGCACTTATACCCATAATCCCAGCATTTGATCATGAATCAATCACAAACTCTAACAGCTGCCCCAGTGAGTGCACGAAGCTTTGGGGGGACAACTACACACAAACCATATCACTAATGTATTTATTCTTTTATTTGATCAAAATATGTGTTTTCAGGGCTTGAAATGCTTCACTTCAACAAGCTCTTCTTGACTCGAGGGTTTATGCTGAGAAAACTGCTGTGATTCTGTAGGCGATCCTTTTGTAGGTGATCTGTTTCTTTTTTTTAACAGCCCTTAATATTCTGTTCTTGTGCTGAATTTCCAGAATCTTGATTGTTACATGTCTTTGTGTAGGTTTATTTTGATGTTGGATAATTGGAGTTCCATATTCCTCACTTATTTATATGTCAAATTCTTTATCCATGCTTGGGAAGTTTTCTGCTATTAGTTCTGTAAAGAGGTTTTGTAATGGCATTTGAGCTGTCTCTTACTTTTCCATTAACTCCAGTTAGTCTTATGTTATTCTTCTTTGCTTCATCTTGCAGCTATTCGATTCATTTTTCATAGTTTTTTGCTGTTTTCAAGGTATTATTGTTTTGTGCTTGCTAACTGAATACTGTCTTCTAGATCTGATAGTCTATCTTTGCCTTCGTTCAATCTATTGCATATACTTTCAATGGAATTTTTAATTTCCTGTATATCGATTTGTATCTATTTTATGGCTTCTATTTCTTCCCTATCTTGGGCATGTATGATTTCCATTGCTTTTCTAAGCAACTTTATTTTTCTATGGGTCTACCCTAGATTATTTTACTATATCTTTCATGTTGACTACTGCCATTTATTTTTTTTACGGAGAGATTATTTTTTCTATAGTCATATTCATTTGTTTTTCACTTCTGCTGTTCTTATTTCAGAAAGACCCAGTGTGTGACTTCAAATTTCCTCTATCTTATTGTGACATGAAGTTGTCCTGGGTGGGCTGGAGGTCTGGGCTTGTATTATGCTTCTTCCTCTTGTCATTTTCTATGTTTTATTTCCTGTGTTGGTGCTTGTAGATTTCCTATAGTACATAGCTTTCTCTATAGTAATGACACTTCCCTAGGAAGTGTCTATTCCTCAGAGCGGTCTTCTAGTGTAAGTGGTTCTAGGTCTTTGTGTCTATCCCAAGAACCTGTCTTCCTGATTTATTAAGGATGAGAGGTTGAAATTTATTTAGCTCAGCACCCTGTCCCTTGGTACTGGACTACGGTAATAGTCATTACCTCATATAATCACTATGTTGTTGTACAAGGGAGAGAAATTGATGATAGCATGAATAACATCCTGGTTAAGGAAGTAAGTACACTTAGCAGTAACAACATCATCAAACACAGCCTAGCAATTAGAAAATTGTTGGGGCAGGGGAGATATCTCAGTGGAATAAGCGCTTCCCTGGCAAGTGCAAGGGCCTGAGTTTAATCCCCAGTTCTGCAAAAATAAAAACAAAACAAAACCAAACAAACAGAAAAAAAGAAACAAGAAAATTGTTGTAGCTACTAATTTGGTACCTTTAATTTTAGGAACAGGCTCTGTAGTTATATAACAAAATGCAACATATATCAGGAACTTGTACAATAGTCTCCCATTGGTAAACTGATTTCACCTTGATTGTGTAGTTTTGAAGAGGGATAGGGAACAGAACAGGGAGATGAATGAGGAGAAATGTAGTAGAAACAAGGCTGTAAGGCCCCCAGTTTTGGGGAAGTTGGAGAATAGTGCAGAAAAGAATGAAAGAGAAAGCAGAATTACATTGAAGCAAACCAGAAAAAGAAGAGATGATGTTCATTCAGAAGACAGATAGTTAAGGGAAGAGAGAAAAAATAGAAGAAAAGAAAAATATTGGTAATAAATCTAATTAATCAAAGGAAAAATAAAAGGAAGACATCAAGAGCAAACAAACACAATAAGACATGCAAAACACAAAACAAAGCAACAACAACAAAAAGAAAAAACAAAGAAACAATCACAAAACACAAAAAAGCCTGCTCCAATCAGCCTGAAGAATGAAAGCCAATCAAACAAAGAAAAAGAAAAAGACAATAAAATTCCTCTGATGTCCACAATTCTGTGGCAGTGTCCATGTTAGATGGCAGAGATGTACTGTGTAGCCCTGCCAAGTTTTCAGGAGATTTTGTAGTGAGGGGCTTCTCTCATCCTTGGGTTCTGGGGTCTGGGACTGGTCTGCAGTTGACAATGCTTCCAGTGTCCACATCTTGTCATGTTTGTCTCAATGGTGCTATGCCAGCTCTTGGGAAGGGAAGGCCACGGCTTGCCCCCAGGCCCGTGGGCACATATCTCCTTCTGGACCTTGTGCAGCTGAGTCTGTTCCACAGCAGGAGCCCCTGTGAGCCTGTGATCATCAGGAGGGGGAATGCCTTATAACTAGATGGCTATTTCTAGTTCTTATTTAGGGATAAGAGTGGCCTTCGGTGTCCATCTGATTGTGTCTGGGTGACCCCAGCTCTGATTTCCCCACAGATTTCTCCCTGGCCAATTCCCAGCTGACAGCAGTCCATTGTGGCTGCATGGCTCTTCCCTTATTCCACTCCAGGGCTTTGGTGCAGGGGCAACTTGGCCTGTTCTTCTCCAGGGCTTCCTCTTGTTCCCTTTGGAGTGAAACAGCCCCTCCTGTCTACTTCTGTCCTGTTTGCCCATCTACCAAGCACAGCACCAGTTTACCTTACTCACCAACTGCTGATTTTGTTGGGCCCTTTGCGACACGGTACATGGCCTGTGAGAGACCTGAGGTTTCATAAATATATGAGTTTTGCAGTATCAGGTGTCGTAGCTTCCACAATAGTTTATTTGAGTGAGGCAAACTAATCCTATTTAGAAATGACACGCTGGTACCATTAAAGCTAGAAAGGAACCATGTAATTCAATTAATATTATAAATTTATTTTAGAAACAAGGAATCTGGGATGTAGACAGGTAAATGAATTTGCCTGCAGTGGCCCTGCATGTTTTATTGTTAGTTCAAGACTATCCCAGAATGCTTTGTGTGAATAACAACCTCTTCATAGAAATCAGTGGTTTCTTTGTTTCTCTTCTGTTTCCTCATCTTTCCTTTGGGAGGAGAATAAAAAGGTGCTCTCAGCTCCTCTGGAAGTACTTGGAAAGTGTGAAGGACTACAGATCCCGCCCTCCCTTGTGACATTTGGTCCTCATTTCCATGGATCACTAAACTAAAATCATGTATATGTGTTACTACCCTCTCTCTTACCTATATTTTTAAAATAGCCCACTCATGCTTTGAGATTGTTTATTTTATTACATACTAAACCCATGGCCTGGAATCTAACAACATTACTGATTGAGGAGGGAATTTGTTAAAGACTCAGAAGAGTTTCCGAAATAAGATACGTTAAAGAAACGAAGAAGCCAGCTATCTGTAATTAGAGTTAAGAGTTCAGGCTGTGGAAGCCCAGATTTTCCAAATAAAATAACATCTAATGTCATTTATTTTTAGCTGCTCACACACTTTTTTTTTTTTAAACAAAACATACTTTTCTTTAAATTTAAATTCCACTATGACATAAAACCTTAGGCTTCTAGACAATTCTGGGAGCAGTGTGTGTGTGTGTGTGTGTGTGTGTGTGTGTGTGACTGTCTGTCTGTCATCTCCCTTGTGACCCCCAGGGCATCCTCTAAGAGGGGAAGCCTGCATTTGGGTCTACAGATCTGGTCACAAGGAAACCAACAGAAATGAGCAGCTTTTGCTTTCCTGACTTTTACTGCTCTGGCTCCCTTCACCTTGGGCTTCTGTCAGCCCAAACGGCATCTTTCACTTCAGCCAAGTGTAGGTTATTAGCTTATGAAAGCCAAAAATGATGAGCCGTCCCACACATCCAGCATACGTATGAGCAAGATTATAAAAATCATCATAATCTCTGGAAGCAGAGCGAGCCAAGCAGCCCAGGTCCCTCTTCCTTTACTAATTTGTACACAGTCCCTGTTTTAAGAGGACACGTTCTCAGAGGGTACTCACATGGGACTGCTGAACCAGCTGTACAACTTTTATTTTGAAGAAAAAAGTTGAGCCTCAGAACAGGCTGTTTGAAAGACAGGGAGGGACTTAGCGCTGCCTGGTTTGACCAGCATGTGGAAGGACAGCTCTCACGGCTGTGATTCCATAGAGAGCTCCTACCTGGGTGACACTTGGGGTGGGAGGCTTTCTGCTCGCTTTGCTCTTGTTTCTGAAGATCCCGGGCACGTCTCTCGCTTGTGTCAGTGTGACTCTTGGTGGTGTTTGCACACCCTGCTTAGTGGGGGAGTGCCCCGACGTGCCTGTCTTATGTGGCCTTTATGGACACACTGCTCAGCTGGCAGAGATCAGGGAAGTTTTCTCCCAGCACCCAAAAAGAGAAAGAGGAAACTACTTTTTCCTTCTGGGCTCCTTGCAGCACAATAGATCAGGATAAACTCCCACATTCCCTCCTTGGATTTTCTGGAGTGGTCTCCAGGAAGAAGTGAAATCCTCACCTTTAAATGGATGACCATGTCACCATCAAGAAGAAGCATCTCCAAAGACCCATCTTTAGGTAAGTGAAGCCACTTCCCAGGTGGCTCCGGGGCTGTCAGTGACAGTGGTGTCTCACCCTCACCTATAACTTGGCATTCAGGCACTAAGCTGCAACACATAGTGCAGAGTGTCCCTGAAGTTTAAAACTTTGTGTGTGGTAGAGGAGCGCTTTTCCTTTCTGCTTTCTGAAACTGTGCATATCCTCAAAGTATGTTTTAAAAACATCTTAACTATTCAAACACATGAATGACATAGCGCTGGAAAAACTTTGGAAGCATTGTGCAATCTTTTACTTTTTCTGACAGTGGCTGTGCAGCTCTCTAAATAGAAAATATTGTGCTTGGTTCTTTCAACCGATTATACTCCAGGGCAGGGTTTTATTTCTCTAAATGCTCTGTCTTTCTGAAGTAATGTGTCATGAGAGAAATTTGAAGTTGATAGCTACGGTATTGGAGTGCATGTTTTAGAGCTCGTTCGGGAATGTCAGTTAGGAAACAATAGAGCAATAAGAAAAATTGCGCACTGTGGAGGAATCTGTGGCCAAGGAAAATGTAATTAACACACAATAGGTTGGGCTAAACTTTTACTTTGGGGGAGAGAAACTTTCTCTAGAGCAGACATCTCTGTTGATTCTTTATTGATTTTAAACTACGTTAAAATCTGGAATTAGGAATTAATAATTTTAAAGTCGGCAGACAATGAACGCAATTTCTGTCTTTTAAAACAAATGTTATTAAAAATCTACGTCAATTATACATCAATTTTATCCTTTCTTCAAAACTACCAAGAAATATAAAGCTACTAGACAATACCATACGAATAATGTCAAGTTATAGTCACTGGTTGTTGATGGAGAATTAAATAGAATTTTGATAAAAATTCATAATAGAAATTTACGGATTGAAATTGGCATTTTGTGGTTGCTACACATCAAAAGACAGTGAATCTACAAGACTATAATTAGATAAAATGTGGCCATTTTATGTACTGATTGAGTAATATTGCTGTCTTCTTGATGCAAACAGTATACTTACAAAATGCTAAAAGCAGTGCTAGAGCGAATCTGTTTTAAAGCCTTCTTTTGAATTTAAGTTATATCTAATTCATATATAGGATTTAATATCATAATCTGGACTTAATTTTGTATTGGGAACTCGAATGCAGCAACAGGAGTAAATAATTAAATCCCGAATGACCCCAAATGCGTGTTCACTTGCTGTCTGCTTTCTCTCAAGAGCATGTGTGACTTCAGCGAGGCATGCTCACTGCATCCATGATTCCGAACTTAACCTCCGTGAGGCACCACTCCCACGGGGCACCCACAGCCTCTAGGAATGCAAGGTAGTGTTGGATAAGGGCAGATTCTTCTAGCCATTGTTGCTGGCGTGTATTCCATGGGAGAGTTTTGGGGATTGAAGCAAGTAGATTTCATGCCAAATCTGCATCCACTCATCCCCTCCTGATAAATTATGTGCCTACCTGCCACTTGCAGGTGAACTGCCATCTAACTGCACTCTTAAAAAAAAAAAAAAAAAAAAAAAAAAAAAAAAAAAACAAAACAGGAAGACCAGATCCCGTGTGGCCATTGAGACTCTCTGCCCAGATAATTAGAATAAAATTTAGCAAATTCAAATGATTGCTTCATGATCTTGGAGGTCCAGAGGAGGGCATGTAGCTATGGCAGAGGTCAGGCTTTCACCCAGGCAACTGTTTGCCAATCGTTGTTGGATGTGGATTCCTGACCAACTGACACTTAGGTTAAGTCTAGGTCAGGCAGGAGTGGGGGGTTGATTGACTGACTGGTATGTTGACAATTAGCATTGCTTTTCATTTTTTAACCAGGCTACAACTGTGGTGAGGGAAAAGGAATGCGCAGAGTGAATTAAAAGATTCAAGAAATTAGCCACAGTTCCTCAGAGAAAATTTGGGACTGATTGTCACTAAAACGCAACAACGTTGACTTACTGACGGCTGGTTATTCATTTGGGCAAGTGGGCAAGTAGACCAAGATTGCCCTTGGCACGTTGCCTCTGTCCTAGGAGGCACTTCGTTTTCTTGGTCAGCGCCCCTCTCCCTGGGACCCTGGTCCTCATGGGTATCTTTTGACTGTCTAGCATCTCACAATGAGACCTCTTTCTCAGCCCTGTCCTTTCTGGTCAGAGACCCACTCTAGCCCACTGGTAGCACATGGACCGCAGCAGGCTGTTGGTATCATTGAAGCCTCTAAGAGGTTCACCATCACTATTCTAGACCTTCCCCTCTTAGTATGTTCTGGTGCATAATCCACTTCCCTAGAGTGGTACATAACAGTTATCAATCCACTTGATATGTAGATCTGTTCCTCCTGTGCTAGTGGGGCCAGTTATAAATTTAACAGAAATTTTGTAAAAGTTATATCTTGGTTGTTTATAATTAAGCCACTTATAATTTTAGTCATTAAGACAAATCAGTCCAGGAATTTTTCTTTTGAAGTATCAATTTGCATTGAAATTTCTTTATATGGGCTAGTTTCTCCTATAACTGAATTTATAGCTTTAATTCTGTACACATGATCTTCCTGTAGTCGTATAATCCAGTATTTATCTAAAAACCTATGATCCAGTCATGGAGTGGGTGCCAGAAGGGAGGTAATGTCCTAGGAGAGCCCCAATTCAGTAACTACTAATTGTGACACCTAAGTGAAAGGGGAGGAAGAAGGAGTATTCTTTATTTAATTTTTGGGACTGGATTAAAATCAATTTTCTTTCAGCATAATTTCCCTAAATTTGAGAAAGCAAAAATCATCCATCAGATAGAAGCAGTAAGGTGAGAGTTTTAGAGTAGGTGGTGGATGCTGAAGTTCCATGGCTGGATAAGATATCAAGGTGACTAGTTGGCCTCTGATGTTACTAAATCCAGATTCTAAGAGTGTCTGGGCCCCTTCCCACGAGAACTCCCAAGTCATCTCACCTAGTTAGGTTATCAAATCTATATTTTAAAAGTCTTCTTTAGGCCTCTTGGAAATCCATTGCCATTCCACGTCTGAGGCAGAGAACAAAGGCAAAACTCTAAGGAGTTCGCCAAGGCAGGAATGTTACAGGACCAGCGAGACTGTTCAGCGCAGAGCTGGTGTTTCCTGAACTCACTTGAGGACTTATCTGCAGAAGTCCTTATGGCCGAGATTCGTGGAAAGCAGAGATGATTCCTTTTACTCGAGAGAAACACTTTACGTTGTACAATTTCCTAGGATAGACATGCTGTCACAAAACTGCAGTCTTACGTTTTAACCAACAGCACTGAGTTTTGTCCTTAGAACTTAGAAAATAAAATTACGTAGATTTTTAAAATCCATGATGTAAGTCTATGCTTCATATTAGAGGGCTTACTTAGACACGTGACTTTAGTCTTTTAACAACTTTTTTTCTGTATCACCAGAGCACTTCATTTCTGATAATTTTAATCATCAGTTTATCTTTTAACATTTCTATCATACATTCAAATAAAGAGCCTATCTGTAACTTTAGTAAAACAATTAATGAAGACAATTCCATCTTGTGGAGTATTCATATTGCTTGGTAAATTTTATATGTCCTTATAAGTCAATCAATCATAAATGGTGATATCAAGGAAATCTGGTTTTCCTAAAAAATGTATTTGTAAAAATATCTTATATCTGGGGGCCGGGAGATGGTTCAGTAGAATAAGTGCTTGAAGTACGTAGAGAAAAATGCCTTTAAAAAGTAAATTGAAGTGGTGCTTGTAGGTCAAACGTTAGCATTCTTTTGGAACCAATGACCACTTAAACTTCTCTCAGGGCTAAAAAGTTGTTATTTTGGTGGTGATTTTCCACTAGAAGTAACCCTAAAAGGTCACCAGCCATCAAACTATACCAATAGTTTCTCATTAGCCCTGGAATTAAAACCTGGAGAGTTCATCCAGCATCTGAGTTACCAAAGTAGATTGCTGCCAGGACCCAGGACTAAGGAAAATTGTGTTAGGATTGTCACAGCACTCAGAACATGCTGTTTCTTCTCTTTATGTGTTTTCAAAAGTTTTATTTTTACAAGTATCTGCTAGCAGTGGAATTCTGAGTGCGTTTTTGGCAGACACATTCCTTTCACATAAAATGTAGGCAGCAGTAGGGTGGAATAACAAAGTCTAGATAAAAGTCCTAATTTTCCTCGTGGGCTGAATGGGGACAGTGAGCAGCCCCTTGCTGGGTCTGAATTCTAATTTCAAAGTTTGAGATTTTACACATTTAGAGGTATTCTAAAGTGCCCTATTTATCATAAATATTTATTGTGTATTTAAAATCATTACCTTTTAGAGTATAAATTCTTTTGTTTATTCCAACATGTTAGCTTAGTGCATAAATGTCAAAGCTGAATCAGAAATTGCTGACATTCAGAGGTGACACTGTATTTCAGATTTTCACACATTCATGAGTTGAGCAACTGACTGACAGTTTACAGTAGTTTACTAGACAAGGTGACCAGACAGTAATCAGTCGTACTGGTGTCACAACCATTTTGTGCAGCACTTGGGGCATGATAGAAAATAACCCAAATAAATTAATACAAAGTTAACATCACTACAAAATTTAAAGAAATTGTGTTGTATTACTGATTTTTCTTCCATCCATCTTGTGTATTTATGATATTTCTTAACTTAAGCCTCTTTTTTAACAACTTCCTCTCCCCTAAGATATGTTCTTTAGACGGAAATACCGATATGGTTATTCCAATTAATCTTCTTGTCTAGGTTAAGAGGATATTGTGCTGTTTATTTTAAATTGATCTTTAAAATAAATTAAAGGAAAACAACAAGGACATCTGCATGTAAGACAGGTAATATTAATCATAAGAAAAGGCATTACTATGTCTATTTTTTTGATTGAGATAAGAGCTCTGATTTTAAAGTAGTCACCATCAGTTGATAAACTATGATTGGTTACGCATTTTGATGTCAGGCTGTAAGTAATTTACTTCCTGTGGTAACAGCAGAAATGTAAAGTTTCTCCAATGAGCTTCTCATTAGCAG